GTCAGAATGGACTCCACGGCAGTGGGTTGGGCTGGGTTTCAATAAACACTGAGCCCCAGTCAAAACTCAGCGACGCCAGTGTGCCTTTCAGCTTTAAGGTGCTCCAGAGGCAATTTCTGTCTGTTTTATGAAACCATGCCTGACTGGTCTCTAATATTGGAAAAAAAGTCCAATCTCGCAGCTGTCCACACAGCACGTGAAATTTTCATGCTGAGAGAATGGCCGCATGAAAACAAGATACTAGAAAGCCTTTCTCGGGTCTCCAGCTATCATGGGCACTGTAGTGCTCTGAAGCATTACATAAAGAATCAAATCAAAGAAGTCTTTCTTCTCCTACGCACAGAAAAATTAAGATCTGGGGGGGTAGTGCAACAGCGCCACCTATGGCCAAAGAGGACTTTCCAAATTGCTGAAAAAATGCAACAAAATTAACTACCTGCATAGTGAGAAATGATTAAAAAAAAAAAAAAAAAAAACTCACTGCCATCAAGTCAGATCCGACTCAAAGTGACCCCTCCTTGGGTTTCCGAGGTGGCATCTCTACGGAAGTAGATTGCCCAGTCTTCCTTCCAAGAAGCAGCTGGGTTTGAATCGCCAGCCTTTTGGCTAGCAGTCAAATGCCTTAGGCACTATTCTACCAGAGCTCCCAAGAAATGATTCATAGAGCTTTTTAAATGGTAGTTCAGAGACCAGAACTAAGCACTTACTGAACTCTGCTTCAGTAGAAGGGGTGGCATTCAGTACTTAAATCTCAAGTGTCACTCCCCGGGACAGAAAAGACAGACGGAGACACTGAAACTACTCTCGGACCTGGAAGGGCTCTCAGGGCCCGGCTCAGCCCGTTCAGCTCACAGAGAGACAAGCTGACACGCAGGCACGGCGCTCGTCACCACGGGCCCAGAGCTCCCAACCCCAATCTCGTGCTCCGCATTATGCCAAGACCAGCCCACCTGCACCAACGACCAACCCCACGCTCAAAGAAGGTGCTTCCGTGTTTCTCAAACAGCAGGTGAGCTACATGTCATGAAAAACACCCAAAGGGCTGGTAACTACAAATCCTTCGACTGTACTGAAGCACAAAAAGAACAGTAGCCACATATAAAAACATCATGATGTGTTCAATAGCATTTCTTGTTCCATCCATTAAAAAAGTGATAAATATCAAATCTACATCCGTTCGGTTGACAGGCTTTGCTGCTGTTCGTTGTCGCAGAACTGATTCCAACGCCTGACGACCACGTGTGCAGAGCAGGACTGCCCCACACGGCTCCCAAGGCTGGGGCGTTTCAGGAGCAGATGCCCTGCCTGGCTTCCCAGCACTGCGGGTAAGTGCTTCAAGTCCTCTTCCCTTTCAGCGAGCAAGGCTATGGCATCTGCCTATCACATGTCGTCAGTGAGTCTTCCTCTAATCCTGATGCTGCATTCTTCTTCATATAGTCCAGCTTCCCAGGCTGTTTGCTCAGCATACAGATTGAGTGAGTATGGCGAAAGGATACAACCCTAATGCACTCCCTTCCTGGTTTTAAATCATGCAGTATCCCCTTGTTCTGTTCAAACAAAAGCCTCTTGGTCTATGCACAGGTTCCTCATGAGCACAATCAAGTGTTTTGGAATTCCCACTCTTCTCCATGTCATCCATAATTTGTTATGATCCACACAGTAGAATGCTTTTGCCTAGTCAATAAACCACAAGTAAACATGTTTCTGGTATTCTTTGCTTTCAGCCAAGATCCATCTAACATCAGCAATAATGACAGATCGTTAGCTGAGAATAAAATATTTGTGAACCTGCATAATTAACTCAACCTTGAAAGAGCAGAAAACGCCCTTTCCTCGGGGGCAGTCTGCTGGAAGCTCCGCAAACTGGACCTGCCGTGTCCAGAGCCCCTTGACCGGCAGCTCACGCTGCTCAGCTATTTCCCACTCGCTAGGACGGTAGCAGCGTCATTCATCGAGCACATCCTGCTTCCTGAGGCCTGCAAGCGGTCCAGGCCCTCTCCAAGGTGCGCGTCAGTCTGCGTCCACCACAACCCCATGAGGCAGGTACTGTTAGGACCATCCCCATTTTACAGCTAAGGAAACTGAGGCACAGGGAGGTCAAACAACTTGCTCTGGGTCATACTAATAGGAAATTACCTGTTTTTCTGATGTTTTGCTGTTGGCAGAGGGACCTGAGGTTTGCAGAAATCTAAGGGAGGGTGTGAAATACTTAGTGTGTCCGTCTTGGTCTCAGATAGTAGACGCTGTGACTTCCTGACACAGACTGAGGCTATCTTTATAAACTCATCTTGAAATTAGCATCCAAGAGAAGACAATACGCCTGCTCATGGTCTCGAGCCCGCCGGTGTACACTGCTACGCTACACGGCACATACACAGCATGTGTACACACACACGCACTGCCGCCCTCCACCGTCTCCAGGGCAGTCGAGTCATCAGCAGCCTGTGACAAGATCACAGTCGTCCCCCAGCTCTGCGCGGCTCCCCGGCGTCCCTCCCCACAGGCCGCCTTCAGCAGGCAAACGCTCTCAGAGTTCCGCACCGCGCAAAGCTGAACTAGACACTGCTGCAGACAGCGCTTTTCCAACTTCACACTTTGCTCACCAACATTCGGCAAGGGGTGGGGGGTTGAACCACGCCCTCCATGCCTGTCTAGTCTCGTAATCCCGACAGGAGATGAACGTCTCAATGGTCTTGAGTCTTCAAATCACAGCAGGAAGGCCCTGCAGAGCACACAGGGGACTGTCTCTGAAAGAGGAGACAGAAGCGCTCAGCCCCCGTGGACGTGGGGAGGTGTCAGCACCGGGCAGCCGACGATGAAACGGAAGACGCCGTGGCCTCATCCCAGAGTCAGTGTCCGTCACACGGAGCAGACGCTGAGTTCCGACAGAGCCGCCTCAAGTCAGAAACAAAGCAGGAAAGGAGGGTCAGGGACACGCCTACTTCCAACCTGCAGACTTGCTTGTCATTTCCCAGCGGGCTTCACTCTCTTCTCCAATAACTGAAGTCATTCTGCAGGGAGGCTGAGGAAGGCCAACGTACCTTCGAGAACTGTTCCAGTGGTTCAGAAAATGCATCTCGGCACTGCTAACGAGCCCAGCCTCAGGCTGTGTGGCTACTCACCTGGTTAGAAAGGCAGGCTCGGCAGTCTTTGCTGATGGTGGGAGATGCTGTCATCCAGGGAGAAAGTAGCTTAAAGCATCCCCCCGATCCAACACACAGTCACTACACTGGGCATTCTTGGGGGCTGAGGGGATGCCTAAAAACCGCATGGAGCAAAGAACGTCCAGCAGTTTTGTGTGTGGCCTTGAGCTCTGCCTTCTGTTATTAATGAACCATGAAAGGAAGTTCATTCACTGAGGGCCCAGAGATTCCAGTGCAACTCCAAATGCATCTGTAGGTCTGCCCCTCCAGAGGAGTTGGTCCATTTTTCACGGCTAGCAAATATAAGACAATCAGACTTCACCATTAAGAGAACATCATCAACCAGTCAAATAATAAACAGCCCCTGGGGCTGGCTTCATCCAATACACAGAAAAGACCCAGGCCTAGAGCCTCCACGTGGGTCCACCACGAATGTGCACGTGCACCAGAGATCCACAGCCGGTAATCCACTCACAGCATCTACAGCATCTAATGACAATGCATTAACAGTATGCACTGAAAACAGAAAAAACATCTGTCATAGTGGACTCAGCAGACTTTAACTACATTTAAAATCAGCCAGGCCTGACTCAGAAAGGGACAGTCATATATTACCTTCCTGCTGGCTCCCAAGACTGCAAGGGAGTCCAGGCCACAGGAACGGGCAAACTCACCTGGCCGGTGTCTGTTGGCAGCCTCGGCAGGGAGCGAGCCACCATGCAACTTTCTCGTCCCAGTCTTCCCACCGGTGCCACCGGGATAGTGAGAGATGACAGAGGCGGAGCACAAGCCTTCAAGAGCAGCTGGGCAAAAACAGACAAACAAGGACGGTTAGCAGCATTAGTGGCCCATCGCCCGCCCAGTGGTGACAAAGAAGAAGCGTTTGAAAGTGTGGCTTACTGGAAAACACCACTTATCCCCAAAACAAAGATTGCACCTAAACGTCACTGGTTTTGTTACAAACAGGAGCAGGATGGCTGTCTCTCGCCCCTGCCCACACAAAGGCTGGTAACACAGAGAACTCTCGCAACGCTCAAGGACTCACCGAGGGCCTGAGTGCACGTGTGACACGGGCCAGTGCCCTGGCCTGTCATTCCTTCCCTTAGCAGCGTGGTTAGTGCAGCCTGTGTGCCAGGCTGTCAGCCGGATTCGGCAGTTTAGAGACCTGCAGCAGAAAGTGCCCTGGTCTGAAGACATGGGGCAGAAACTCCTCCCAAGCGGGACCGGGGTGCCTCTCCACACCATGCACCTAAACACACCCGCTCCGTTGGTGGCTGTAACACCTGCAGGCATACAGGCGCGCCGTCTCTCACCCTGCTTCATCCTCACTTCTGAGGAACATCGTGACTGCACTTCCTCTGAGACAGATGCGTCTGTTCTTCCGGCAGCCCGTGGAACATTCAGTGTTCTTCGCCAGCTCCACAATTCAAAGGCATCAACTCTTTGGTCTTCCACTTTCATTGTCCAGCTCTCGCATGCACGTGAGGCAACTATGAAGACCATTTTGTTTGATTTCCGTTGCAGACTCTCCCTCATTATGTCATTCTGACCCGTATCTGACAGGGTTGACAGGTAGGCCTCTGTCACTAAGCTGTCAGCCAACCCCTGCTTGGTCCTCACTCATACAATGTTCATCCAGCCAGCTTCAGGGATTGTCCATGGCCCACTAGACAATGGTCCCACAGATAAGGGAGCTCAGCTCAGGCCACCACCTCCCGGCCCAGGAGACACAGCCTCTGAAGAGGGTCAACCCGTCAACACTACCTCCAGACGCAATCAGCTCACAGCAGACACGGTTCGTACATGGTGTTGTGGGGCCTACACAAACCTCTGTCCAGATAGATGCTGCAGGACCAGGAAAGTCGTCCTTTGGATGAGGTGTTCTTCCTTTTCTCGTTAATTGTTTAAATGGAGGTAGAGTTCCCGCCCTAAACCTCACCTTTTTGAAGTGCACAATACAGAGGTTTTTCGTATACTCAAGTTGTACAGCCACCACCACTAGCTCCAGGACGTTTCATCACCCCAGAGGGAAATCTGCACATAGCAAGGCACTCCGCAGCTCCGCTCCTCCACCCTGGCAACCATCCCACCCTCCCTGTCTCTGTGGGTCTGGTCCTCGGAACGTTTCCCATAAGGGGATCATACCACGTACGCCCTTTTGGGCTGGCTTCTTTCGACATCAGGTTTTCAAGGTCTTCCCCGCGGCAGCACGGATCAGGACTTCCCTCCTGTTTATGGCTGAAGAGCACTCCGCTGTGTGGATGGACGTGTCTTCCTCCAGTCACCAGCCAGTGTGTGCGTTAGGCTTTGGAGAAGGAGTGTCACGCTGCATCAGATGGGAAGGTGTTCCAAGCTCAGGGCAGGATGTGCTAAGAGACACAGCGACCAGGAGACGCGCCTGCCATGGGGGGAGCGCACTTCTGGGGACGTCTGCTAAACCACCGAGGTGGGGGTGAGGACCGGCTGTCGTGGCTGGCGCTGTCAGTCAGTTCTGACTCAAGGTGGCCCCACATGACAGAACAGAATTGCCCAATAGGGTTTCCTTGGCCGCAATCTTTACAGGCACAGGTCACCAGGTCTTTCTCGTGCAGAATCGCCAGTGAGTTCAAACCCCCACCCTTCAGTTTCCCCTGAACACTTAACCATTGCACCACCAGGGCTTCCCAAGTGAGGACTGAGTAGGATTCCTCCTCGAAGAAGCCGACAGCTTCATGAGGGAGGCCCACCTGTCAACAACTTCCGACGGAGGTCAGAACGATGTGATGAGGAAGGTCTGCCGCTGAGGCCCAAAAGAGCGGCACAGAACACACACTATGGGGTGGGCCCCGTGGGGGCAGCGGCAGACACGGTAGGGAGGCAGCCCCAAACAGAGCCCCCAACAACCTGTGCACAGCCAGCTGCTGCTCCCCTCTCGTCTTTTCCTTTTGTTCGTTGTGATGAAAATAGGTGTTTGAAATAATACACAGATTCAACAATGTCTATGTGTACAATTTGGTGACACTGTTCACGTTCTTCAGGCTGTACTGTTCTCACTCTCCTTCTCCAAATTATTCCATCCCCATGAACGCGAAGTCCCCAACGACCACTAAGACCTCCGGTTTCTGTGTACCTGCTGACTTCAGATCTGGGAGCTCATAGAGTATTTGTCCTTCTGTAGCTAACTGACTTTGCTCAGCATCACGTCGTCCAGGTCGGGCCACGCTGGGCCACGCATCCATACTTCATTGCTCTGTGAGGCTGAGCAGGCCACTGCGTGGATGGCCCACAGCTCGTGGGCCCATTCACCTGATGGCCACCTGGGCTGCTTCCACCTTTCGGCCTCCACGAACAGCGCTGCAACAGATGTGGGGGCACATGGGTCTGTTTCCATCATCGCTGCTTTTTTTTTTTTTTTTTTAAATCTTACTTTGATTTGTGTGAAGGTTTATGGAGCAAATTCATTTGCCACACAGCAGCTCATACACACAGTTTCACGTCCCTGACTGCGACTCCCCACAGCGTAGCAGCTCTCTGCCCGCCTGCTCCCTGCAGTTGCCTCTCCCTTCCCTCCCATGCACCCCACACCCTTTCTCTGTACAGCCAATCTCTGTTTTCTCTCGTTTCAAAGACAAGCCGTAACAATCTGTCATCTTCGCCGGACCCTCTCACCTGCGAGCCACAGGAAGTCGTTGACGGAACGGAGCAGCTCCACCGCCATGTGGTAGTGCACCAAGGAGTCCTGCAGCATCCCGGCCTGCAGGCACAAGTCGCCCACGTGCTTCCGCAGGCGGCCTTGGCATCGCTTCCGGTAGTGCCTGAAAGACAGAATGCAGGGGCGCTCCATCAGCCGCGCCTGGCCGCGGGCCCCCAGGCACACCAGCCACGCACTCCTCCCCGCCCTAACAACCCCAGGGAGGCAACTCGGGGCTCCACCACCGGAGGCCAGGCCTGGCAACGGGAGCGGGCTTCCTGCAGCCACGAAGTACTGCCGGGTCAGGTAACAGCAGCAGGTGAGCAGGGCTCCACCCTCCTAACCTCAGACCCGTCACACTGTTCAGAGAGATGCCGCCAGCTCCACGGCCTTTGCCAACAAAACCTTCCATCTTCCCTGTCTCGGCAGCAGCTTTCAAAGCGCTCTGGGAGGGAGAGGGCTCTTTTGAGACTACCACGAAGGCCGCTGACGCCTCAGCAGCTGGGAAACCGAGCAACAGACAGAGGTCTTCCTTTACCATTTTTAAATACTCCCAGGCTCTTGGACATGAAATTGCTTCAAAGGCCTGATTTTTCAAAGAGCAACAACACTGGCACTAACTGTTCCCTCAGCAAGTAAAACCTTCTTATCAAGGATAAAAAACCCCACGGGGGTCCCAAAGCTCTGCAGCGTCTCACTACATGAGTCCCAGTGACAGACCGCACAAGCTAATTCCTACCGGACAGAACACAACACACTCAACAAACAGCTTGTCCATCAGGAATACTGCTGCGACTGGGACCAGCACTGAAGTCAGAGTGAGAGAGAGGACAGGCAGCCTCAGACGGCCCTCCTAACCACAGGCAGCATCAAGATGGCTTCCCAGCAAACCTCCCTGGCACAACACGCCAAGTCCGCACTGGCCTCCTGGCCACTGAGACGCCCACTCACCCACTGGCATCTCTCCCTCCCACAGGCCCCGGCCTCCCAGACCCTCCCCTCTTCCCCCTCCCCTCCCCTCCTCCGGTGTGCGCACACACACACACAGACACTCTCTCTCTCTCTCTCACACACACACACACACACACATGCTCAGAGCCACTGCCCCTCCCCAAGCACACATCTGATTACAGCACACCCCCACCTCCACCAGACGGTTCCCCAACACGCCTCCAGGGAGGAGCCTGGTCTGTGGGCTTCCTCACCCAGGCCCCCTCGCCCCACTCCCTGCCCAGCTACTCAGCACCACCCCTCTGGAATCAGTTTCCCACGGCAGCCTTCTCTGTCCCCACCCTATGCACTTGGGGTGAGGGGCGAGGCGTCCCTGCTGTGTTCCCAGTACACTCCACACTTAAACAACTTCTGACCTTTGTTGTCTGTAGGCCTGAAAAAGGCCAAGACGCTAGGCCTGCCGGTCAGCTCAGCCTGCCCACCCCACCCCCAAGGCTCAACACACTAAACAAAACTCTTTCCAGGCCCTGCCCTCAACACAGGCAAACCCAGAACCCGGGGCCTTAGGCACTGCTGGCTGGAACCCTTCCCTGCCTCCCTCGGTCACCTGCAGCAAGCCACGGCCTGCAAACCCAGCCCCACCGGGCCCCCTGCCGGCCTCCCCAGCTGGCGGCACCCCTCCACTTGGAGCTCTGAGCTCCCACGGATAGCTTTTCATGGATTGCCTTCCCTCTGCCACCTTCCTTGCTCTTTCAGCTGGCCAACTCTGACTGTCCTCAGAACTTAATGCAGAACCCTCTTCCTTCAGGAAGTCTTCCCTGATAACGTCCTCCAACCTGGGCTGGGCTTCCGTCCACAACAACGCTTAGTGTGGTTACTCTCTGGCTATCTGTGTACCCCTCCACTGAGACCATGACCTCCCTGAGGAGGCAGAGACGAGAAGGGGGAAGGCGGAGCACATATGGAATCCCAGCCCGAGTCCCACGGGCTCTCACATACACCACCAGGAAAAAGAGAAGCTCCGTTTAACAGCTAAGAAAGTGTCCCTCTCAGACAGGAACCTGAGGTACCGGGCGGAGCTTTCTCACCATCTGATATGAAACAACAGTACAGAACAAGGTGAACCATCCAGAACCGCCGGGAATGGCACCGGGCTCCGGAGACACAGGAGAATGTCAGTGGCGATGAAGGTGGACAGGGTCAGCTCACTTCCTGACGTGAGCCTGCTCTAACAAGGAAGGGACGCAGCGTCCACACAGACACCCTCCTCCCCCGGCAGCACCGCCGAGGACTCAAACACGTGGCAACTCAGAACCGTTGTTGCCAAGCGCTCTCATGTCGATTCCAACAGAGAGCGACCCCATGTGACAGAGCAGGACCGCCCCACAGGGTTTCCTAGGCTGCAATCTTTCTCCCCTTGAAACCACCGAGGGGTTCAAACCACCAACCTTTCAGCTAGCAACTGAGCGCTTAACCGTCATGTCACCAGGACTCTGAACATTTCAGATGCTACTGTGACACCGGCCCGACAGGGTTGGGATTCGACTTTTGAGGAAGACTTTGCTCTTTCTAAAGACCTGCTGGACAGCAGCCTGCTTGAACTCTTCAAGGAGAGGCACGGCTACATCTTCACATTCACACGGACTTCACAGAGGTGCACCTCAGCGGCACAAAAGAGGGCACGGGAGAGTCTCGAGACCAGAAGGGACACTCACCACGATCAGAAGCAACTCAGCTTTAAAATGCGGCATTTTTACAAAAACTGCTACGCAGCACATTATGTCCATATCACAGACAGAAATTTGTCTTTTGAATCCTCCAAAAACAGTCATTGTTTCCCATATTGAGGTCATATGAGTCAACAAACTATATAAAATAGCTTTAAATTATATAAGAATGAATCTTAATACTTGAGGGAAATCTCCAAATAGTAGACAAACAAAGTTGTACCCCAGCTCTGCAGAAAGCACCTCATTTTTAGAATGCTGTGTCCCCAAGGCTGAGTGACCCAAGAGGATACACCAATCTGTTCTAATACTCCGGAAAGCACAGCAAGATATGGGCAACAGAATCAAAACTATTGTTAGCCCTGGTGGTGCAGTGGCTAAAGCGCTCAGCTGTGAACCAAAAGGTTGGCAGTTCAAACCCAATAGCTGCTATACAGCAGAAAGACTAGAGTGCTTCCATAAAGGTTACAGCTTTTTGAACACTGTGAGGCAGCTCTTCGTCAGGTCACCAGGAGTCAGGATTGACTCAAGGACAATGGGTTTTTCACGTGTGGATGGATGTAACAGTGCCGCATTTTTATTTATTTATTCATTCAGCAAGTGTTTATTGAATACGAAGCACTGCACTACAAGTACAACGAACAATTTGGTAAGGTACCTGATCTGTGGGGCCTTAGATGGCTCTGTGTGTGTATGTGATTTGGGTGAGACTTTAGGGAGCAAATTCATTTCCCACACAGCAGTTCACACACATTTTGTTTCATGACATTGACTGCAATTCCCCACATGTAACAGCTCTCTTCCCACTTCCTCCCTGGAGTTACCTCTTCCCTGGGTCCTTCTCTCCCACGCACTGCCGCCCCCTGAGCCATCTCCCTGTGCACACATTGCCCTTCTGTCCTCCCATGACTGATTGTTCTAAGGAGTGTATCTACCTGATGTAAACGTTCACCCCATACGTCCATCTACTGTTTGGCTGGAAGCCACAGGAGTAAGTTCAGTTCCAGACCTGAAGGGTAACTAGGGACCATAGTCTTTCAGGGGTGTCACCAGGCTCTATCAGACCAACACACCTGGTCTTTTTTTATGATTTTGAGTTTTGTCCCACATTTTTCTCCCACTCTAGCCAGGATCTCCCGCACCAATCCTCTTCCAAGTTGTTGACGGTGGTAGCCAGGCACCATCTGGTTCTTCTGGTCTCGTGGTCATATAGGCTGAGGAGTGTATGGTCTACCAGTCCCTTGGATTAATTATTTCCATGCATCTTTGGTTTTCTTCATTCTTCTTTGCTCTGGCCGAGGAGAGACCCATCGTTGCATATAGATGGCCGCTCACAAGCTTAAAGACCACAGTTACTGCTCACCAAAGTAGGATGCAGAACAATGTTTTTGTGTAATATGTTATGCCAATTGCACTTGATGTCTCCTGCAACAATGGTCCCAACCCCACAGGTCCAACTGCTCGCTCCCTCTGGGTAGCTGGCTGTGACCGAGAAGCCACCTGGACGTTCTTAAAGCTCAGACAAACACGCATGTGGAAACATCATCTGCCAACCTTACCCATGGTCACAGGCATGCTCCCCGCTGCCTAGACATACCTGATCACTCACCCTGTCCACCCATCTATCCACCTGTCCACCATCTATCCACCAAGCAAGAGCAGTGCTTGCCATCACCAGCCATGCAGCAGTACCACATATTTAATAAGCTACACATTTTTAACTCACTGCCTTCAAGTTCATTCTGATTCACAACGACCCCTCCTTGGGTTTCCGAGGCGGTACGTCTAAGGAAATAGATTGCCCGGTCTTTCATCTGAGGAGTGGCTGGTGGGTTTGAACCACCAGCCTTCTGGTTACCAGTCAAAATACTCAGGAAATCTTTGTTTTCAAGGGATAAAAAAACTTAAGTGCAAACTGCATATTAAAAAGAAAAATCTAGTATGAAGCCACAGTAGCAAATAAAGTTAACACCAAGTTCCATATAAAACTGTGTAATTAATCACACCCTCCAAAGCCGTGAGCAACAGAACTTAGTCACAAACACGTGAGTAGGCTCTAAGCACTCAAAGGGCAGGTGTCGTGCTGTTTCACTATTCCTACAACATAAATCACAAACACTGGCTTAAAAGAAAACGGAGCTCAAGAACTGACAGAAATAACTAAGAACCTGACGATCCCCACGTGTCAAGGCGATGGACACGACGCCCGTCTGCCCTGCAGCAGAGCTGGGGACTCAGAGGGAGAACCAGGCTCTGCCCACCTGAGCCCCAGACTACAGCCGCCCTCACAGGGTCTCTGCCTCCCTACACCCCAGACCATAGCAGCCCTCACAGGGTCCCTGCCTCCCTACACCCCAGACCATAGCAGCCCTCACGGGGTCCCTGCCTCTCTATACCCTACACTACAGCAGCCCTCACAGGGTCCCTGCCTCTCTATACCCTACAC